GTGCGTATTGGTTTTAGCCGCGATGCAGAACGTGCTTGTACATACACACGAGAAATGCTGCCGGCTGTTATGCAGCAATATCGAATTCATCATGTATCCAATTTACATCTCAGTTGGTACAACATTGACGCCGACGGATGTTCGGTGTGCACTGAAATATTTAAGAACAATTTGCGACAATAATGTCATTTAATTTGTGTAATTGTGGCGCGATCCGTTTACATTATTGCTCATCATCGCAGCTGTGCATCGCCTCTCCACGGTTTTCAGTAATCACTCGTAATGAGCGTAAAATAGCGATGTCACTGTTAAACGTAATGCGATTGAACGCAATTAATACGCGAAAATGGCTGGAGCTATAAATTAACGTGTCTATATGCATATTCTAACATACACGCGCGATTATGTCAACGTTTTATTGTGTAGACGTGTCATTTTGAATTTTAGATAAAGTTGTGGTTGTGCCCTTACGCTTCAACATAAAGGAATACCTAAATAAAAAGATAGATAGATCTAAGATCCTATACATTTGCATTTTAACTGAAAATCAATAACGGTTTGCCACATCATTATTTAGTAACATTTACTTTAAATGCATTAATACGTATAAAGCGAAACGCTGTTTTCCTTATACATTTCTGTTATATTTCTGTATCGCGACAAACCAAAAATTTTTTATTTATTATTTAGAAAATTATCACTATCTTCAGAAAATTTCTGATTTAATCAAATTAATCTCGTTGTTAGCATTATTTATCAATGTTCTGCTATTTCCACATATTCGTAATCGCGCTAAATAAAATATTTAATCACTATTTTCTTCTTTTGTTTATTGCATTTAGTTAAAAATTATATTTATGTGATAAAAATAGCTTATTTTTAAAATATAATTGCTCAGTTTTATTTTTTAAAGTACTTTTTTACATTTTATGTACAGTATATTAATGGTTAATTTATATTATAATTTTAGAGCAAATTTGGTCATGAACAAGACTTGTATATAAAAAAGATACAATGAAACTAAGGAGAATTTGTTTTTTGCGTGACTAGGAAGAGCTATTTCACTTTTTTAAAATAATTTTTTTGTAGTCAATTAGTAAATTGGATAAATTCCGCAAACAGATTTATTAAAAGCTATCTAAATCTATATCATATTATTATATATTATATGTTATTTAATATTGTTATATATTTTATTTAATATTATAACTTGTATAACTCACATCATATTAATAAAAATATTAAAAAATTACGTAATATAATCTACCGCACATATGGAGGAGATTGTAACGAACAATTGTATTTTTTAAATATGTTAATTATTATTAAATGTATTAAACTCTCAAACAATGGAAAGTATGTATATTGATACTATCATAAATATAAATATAATTAATTTTTTAATCTTCTATTATTTTAATAAAATAAAAGTAAACAAAAAATATTAATTTGCAAGAAAAGATTGAAGGAATAAAAATCACTATTTTCTGTATATTTACTAAAAATGTGAAATAGAGTAAACATAAATATTATAGTAATATTATATATACAAACAACAGTATATATAAACACAGTTATGAAAGTTACAACAATTTATTCTACCATAACTAGCTATGCTTTGCCATATTAATAGTAATTATAATTTAAAAGGTTCTGCTACATTAGGAGACCGAAAACTAGATGATCTTCCGCAATTTTTTTTCATAAAAAAGATTAATATTTATCGATTTCAAACTTTTTGCATGTTTTAATATAATTATTGTAGAGTATGTACAAATTTTTATGCGAAAGAAAAGTATTCTAAATAATAAAAACATAAACATTTAATTTGGCGGTTCGCCACGACGTAACAATTTTGTGTACAACCTAGCTGTAATTCTTGTTCTTGTAATTAAATAAAAAAATAAAAAAAGATTTTTAATTTGTATAGAATATCATCCTATGTACATCTAAAAAATTTTTAAAAATCTATATAAATTACAATTTTGTGTGACTTTGAAGAAATAAATTACGATTTTTATTAGGTAGCAATCAAGGGGGTAACTAGCTGAAATGTTGTCCCACCGATTACATGATTTCATTTGATTTCATATGATTACACTTGATTACGCGTGATATATCATTTATTTATTTTTAATATTTAGTGAACAATAGGAATAAAATGATACATATACGCATTATGCGTGAAACAGAACGCACTTTGAAAGACATGGCACTTGCGAGAAGGAAGAAATACAATTGGATTTTTAATTCTCTCTCTAACGTTCCTACCACTCATCTGTTAGAAAAAGAACGAAAAATCTAACTATGTTTTCTCCTCGCACGCGCCAGAAATCGATATCTTTGTCTTGCATATGCTCGGTCTAACTAGACTATGTCTATGCCGTAACCCTGCAAACACAATAGAATAGTAAACCTTAAGGAATTGACGAATCATAATCGATTCTTTTCACATTTGACTGTGATTGATCAATTTCTTAAGGCTTAAGGCTTACTACTCTATTGCATTTGTGGACTAAAGCGTCTCTGCAGCTGAGATTACCGCATATTGTGCGTAAGAGCTGCCGCACAAAATTCCGCAACAGTGATCGTAAGACGTAAACTTACGCCGATGAGCCAATCATATTGCTTTAGGTCTACATAATCTAACGGAAATGGAAATAAGTAAACTTATCCACAATCTCGCAATAAGGCTAATTTCTACCGATTGAAACTCGCCTTATAAGGCGATAGTTTACTGCTATTTCTATTTCCTTTAGAGTACGTAGATCTAAAGCAATACCCTGATTGGTTCATCGGCTTAAGTTTCACGTTTTAAGGTTACTGTTACAGAAATTTTATCTGCGGCAGATCTAAGCGCCGAGCCATATGTACGCAATCGTGCTTGTGTGCATAAGTCTCGAACAGTCCCATAACACAATAGGAGTACGTTTACTTTTTACGCTCACGCGCTGTAAGCTTCATTCTATCCTTTTTCCGCAAGTAGTAAGTAATAAAGATAGAATGAAGCTTACAGCGCGTGAGCGTAAAAAGTAAACGCACTCTAGGTGTAACAAGTCTTAAACCATAAGAAATCAACCAATCATGATTGAGTATTCTCCTTACACTCGACTGTGATTGACTAATATCTTATGACTCAAAGCTTATTACATCTATTGCGTTGTGGGATTATTCTATGCGTTTGATGCACAAATTTGTATCCCTAGAGTTCTATATGTATATACAAAAAAGCGAATATATATTACATCACCTGTGTACAAAACATCGCATATATTAATTTCGATATTGATCTTGATATTGATTTTGAATCGCGATTATTAGCGTCTCATATTGATTGTGTTATTAATGTCCGAATGTTCGGCGCACAATCACATTTGAGATTAATTAAATTCATGAACTTAGAATATTATATTATTCGTAACTTTCAACTTTAACCGATCCATAGATGCTCTCTTATATTATGTTGTTACATTAACTCGGTCAATTTCTATTTATTATTATCGCATATATTGTTTACATTTTGCTACCTTAGAATAATTATTCATACTAATTTCATCAGACTTCATGGTGATTACATGATTTCATCACAGATTTTATGATGATTTCCAGTGATTACATAAAAAATCATAATGATTTCTATTGATAAGAAGTTTAATAATAACTCTCAAATTAAAAAAAAAATTTTTTTAATGTCAAGACAAATGAGAATAAGGCGCAATAATTGGTGCGCAGAAATTAAATTAAAACATGAAGATTTTCTTGCACTTCTGTTATAGTGATGTGCAAGGAAATCTTCATGTCTAATTTCTGATTTTTCTGTCGTATTTGGCTGAGGATGATCCCAAATGTTCGACCGAAACGTTCGAATTTTAACACAATTTGAATATATATTTTTGTGTCTAATTTTTTTTAATACATCTATGTAAGAATTTATTTTAGGATTAAATCTGCGTACCAATTACTGCGTCTTACTCTCATTTGCATTGAAATTTTTAAATTTCTGTTGATTATATATCATTATGAGTTCTGATGATTACGTATGTGGATTTCATCTGACTTCATGATTACAGCTGATTGCAAAACAATTACATAGAGATTTCGTAAAGATTTCATAATGATTTCGGGGATCCTGTCCCATGACTTCATTAAGTGGTTACCTCCTCGGTAGCAACCGTTTATTTATGTAAAAAAAATTGTTAATGTTGATTTTTATATAATTTTTTAAGTTTACATAGGATGATTGACTATTAGCTAAAGAATGAAAGAAGTCGATCGGACATATACTTTTTTCTTCAATTTTGTACACAAAATTGAAGAAAATATAAAAAACAATTTCGAAAAAAACGCATTTAAAGTTTTCGATGTATATATACCCTGCATATATAGCTTGTATATACAAGCGTCTAAGCACCGAAGGATTTCAAATTTCGCTCTAAAATTTTAGAGACATATTCTTAAAAAGTTGTACTGTCGATTTATGAAAAAAAGTTGAATTTTTTGACCTTCTGATATATATGTAGGAGATTCCCTCAAAAATTTTTTAGATAAGTTATATGTTACTAAGTAAAGATTCAACAAAAATGTTATAAACTGCATCTGTATAATAGATGGATTTAGAAATATTACAGATAATATACTTTATTTGTTCATAATATATTACACATATATTATAGTTGATGAAGATTAATGTTTTTTTTTAAGAATAAAATATTGTTCCTGTTTGAATATATTTTTAATGCTTCAAACAAGATTTAAACAGTATTATAAAAAAACCATAACTAAAAAAAACATAAACGATTATAAGCATGTTCAAAACATATTTAAAAATTTTTTTTTAGTAACTCTGTTATATATTTATTTATTTTATTTATTTATTCGTCTTGCTCTTTGTCACTCCAGAAATATTATAACCATAAGTGATGATCTGTCTCATGTGTAACAATTAGCCGCGACACCCTCTACACGAAACAATCAGACAAATTAAACGTGATAATACTTACTTCCGGATTGCAAATTTTATATCTAGTAGTCCAGATCTTCCCCTTGCACGGTCTATTACGCCTGCATCGACGCTGTTGTCGCGAGATTCCGCCACCGCACGTCCTAAAAGAGCAAAAAGGAAAATTTATTAAGAAATTAAGTATAATGACTTTTTTTGAACGCATTTCGGCAAGATGTCTTTCCTAGGCATTCAACGAACTTTTCATAATCAAGGCGCGTTGAAATCGTCAAGAGTTTAATTGCATTTCACCACCGTGTGCCGTTGCGCGGCGCAGTTAGTTAATTCAATTTACTACTTCACGCTAATTTCATGAGCGATCTTTATTCGCTGGAAATTGCGTTACCTCAACAAGTATGAGTTGGCTCCTTTACTCAAGAGAATGCAAAATACATTCGCATATTTAAATGAAAATATTATTTATGATATAAAGTGTTCTTACTGATTATGATCTGCAGATATAAGCCGTCTACTTAAACAACATTAAATTCCGACTAAAATCGAGATTTTTGTGAATTATTATAATTTTTTTTTTTATTAGATCTTTAATTCGATCGCGACTAAAATGTCATTTTTGTATCATAATGTATGAAGACATGCTGCATAGATATTCTAAAAGATAAAAAATTATCTTTTTTAGATATTTTTCTTGTAAGTAGGGGAGACCGGGGCTAATAGACTCATTTTTCAATTTCGAATTTTTACAGATAAAATTAAGAGATTTACGAAAAAATGAATTCTACACTAGTTACTACATACATTTGACTACCTAATATTTTAATAATAAGGGGAAATTGATAACTAATATGAAAAAAATGCATTTTTCTAATGCATTCCATCTGATTCAACTAGCCCCGGGACCGGGGTAATTCTTCTACTAAGATTATTAAAATAAAGATTAATGTATTTTAAGCTACATTTTTGGCTACATATTAATAAAACTTTTATAAAAATATATTTTAAACACAAATATTTACTTCGCATTTGCTAAACAATACTTCTTTTTGCAAAATTTGTTCATTTCGTGCAAAAACACATCAAATAAGCTTAGTTTTCGAGATTGGACATGAGGAAACTAAACTTATAACATTTATCACTGAGGAAAATCTTTTTAAAGGAATAAAATTTTGAGTAAGTATTATAAGAGTCGTCACTAAATGAGTCATACAGTTCCATGCTGTAGTTAGTCCACTATCCCCATCCATTCATTTTTTAAAAACATGAACAATATACGATACAGAGACATAAACAAAAAAAATCTGTTGGACTTTATTAAGTAAGAACTACACTTACTATCTAAATAGAAATCAAATATCTCAGACAATCGACAATCATAGTCTCAGACAATCATATACGATAGTAAAACAAAAACTTTAAGAATAAAAATATTTACTTAGGTGTGATTTTTTTTAAATTGTGGCATAACATCATAGATGTGTTCGCAACAAGATGTTACAGCAGACTTAGCGGCAGTCGCTGCTGCGTACTCAGACACGTTTACGCATGTCTCGCGTGTTTTGTTTTTCATGTAGCCTCGATTATTCTACTTATCCCTATATTTAATTAACCCCGATCTCCCCTAATGCGAGATTTTTCAAATAGAGTTTCAAATATAACTATAAATTATAAAAGAAGCATTAAAATGTCAGGAAATTTTTAGAAATGACATAACTTGAGAAACAAGAGAAAATGAAACTAATAAAAAAATGGCCGTTAATGAAGCTAATAGAGAAATGAGTGCATACTAACTTTAGAAGTCTTACGAGTAATATAGCATCTTAATATACACAAATAATATCAATAGTTACGAAATAATTTATATTCTAGTTATATCTACTGTTCTCTCTTTTTCTCTCTTTCTTTCTCTCTCTCAATTTTTATAGCTATATATGTACAAATCTTTTGTGAGATAAACATTGTATTAGCTGACTTTATAGTAACCATCGTTATATATTATATTAAATGGACTTGATTGAATTGATTACGACTTGGCTCCAATTTTAGAGAAGTCGGTATCGATTGCATTATTTTACACGGATAGTAATTATCTGCTTTGAACAATAACCGACGCACAAACAATTAGTTAATTGGAATAATAACACGTAGCATACATTACATTGCGTACAGATTAATCCCAATTACGAAGCTTTGTAATTACGTAAATAATATTACGGATGAGTTTATTTTTAAATCGTCTTTAAATAATATGCACGATGCACAATGAGCCTATGCACTATTACTCAATCCTATTAATTTTGCAGCGCTAATTGAATTACGTAAAGACGATGTTATGACATAGATACAGCTCCCATGGACAATACTCCTACTCCAAAAAAATATCACAAATGTACTCCTACAATAAACTCACAATATTCGCGGATAAATTGTAATGTTATTGTGAAATTATCAAAAGTTATGGCATAACAATACATTATTTTGATCTATATACAGAGTGTTCCACCTAACTCGACCATATGAAATATTCTGTTTGGTTTTTATGATAGGAAAAAATGTTTCAGATGAAAGTGGAATAGTTTCAAGGGGGATGTATTTCGGTCAAGTTGTTTTTTTTCTAGATGGAGGCGCTAAAAAAATATGAAGATCATCTCCATTTTTTTAATAAATAAAATTGTATAATATTTTACAAAAAAAATGTTTGGTTAAATTAACTAGAATTCTGGTGAAAAATGAATCAACAATCCAGAATTCTGGTTAAATCTAAAAGATTTCTGATTAAATTATTAATTTATTAAAATTTTAGTTGAAATAATATTTAGTAGATTTAATCAGAAATTTAGTAGATTTAGTAGATTTTACCAAAATTCTGAATCGTTTATTTTCAACCAAAATTCCAATTAATTTAACCAAATATTTTTTTTCCGGATAAAAAACCATTAAATGTGGATCATTCTTTAAAAAAAGTTTCATATTTTTATCCAAAACAATATCAAACAATTAATAAAATATTTAATAGCTATGATTGATCATAAAGATTACATTATTGGATGATTTTATTCTATTTTATTATCGTTTTATATGTTTTAATTTGAATTAAAGTATATATATTTGAATAAAGTATATTTGAAAAAACAAATGACAATTAGACTCCATGTACTAATTGCGAATCAATTCATCAAATGTCTTATCTTTTTTAGTGTATATATATAAATATATAAATCGAAATTATAATTAATGAGTCACATCTAATTCTAGGATCTAATTATGGATAATGATACAATTTTAATACATTCAAGTTTATTTTAAATTAGTGACAATTAAAAATTAATGATAATTTTAAAAAATTGGTGAAAATTAAACGTTTGGCAATAAAAGACAGTTAAATTATGAATAGTAACATTTTTTGCGTATAGACATGTTGAGGAAGCCCGAGCAGCGCGGACGAGTTAAAGTTGAGAAGAAAAAGTGACATAATTAAAATTGAGATCAGAAATAATTTTTATTCTCATAAATCTCTTAAAGGACTTAACTTTAAAATAAAATAAAAAAAATTAAAAACTTGAACATTAATATGTCGTTTTAGTTAAAAAAAAAAAGAAACCATCCGCTTTGCCCGACCTCTCTGGATAAAGCGAATGGATCACTTGAGCAATGCAAAAGAAATTCAAAAAATTAGAACCAGTCTTGGCAATCGTCACAAAAATAGCTATTAAATCCTTTATATAGTATTAAATCCTTTATGTAGTGCAGCCTTCATAGGCCCATTTGATGCAATGACTGCACTGGATCAATCATAAACAAATCATCATACTGCATTGTAGCAAAAAATAAATAAAAATAAGATGTAAATAAATACATGCCTTTCGTACACTCGAAAGGTCGTCTGTCCCTCTGTATTCCCAGTAATTTTCGTTGTAATTATATACTGAATATAAAGAAGATGAATCGTCCGTTTTGCCCTACCTGGCGCAAATTTAGAAAGATTAGAATAAGTTGAAGCACCGAGTGAAAAATTTTAACCTCGAATACACGTTTAAAGAATTCTTATAAAAAAATCATTCTCACTGGTTAAGGAACAATTATAGATAATAATTAAACTACGTATCTAAGAAAAAATCGCAAGAAAACTCAATTTTTTATATAATTCTATTAAACACAAACGAACGCAATCATATCGTCGTTCGTACTTTCATAGCGTCACTGGTTGGTCATTCCTTCAACTGCTAAAGACTCATAGCGCAATCTCAGATAGATAAGCGAAAATAAAAGATATTCGCTTTATCTAGGGCGTTCATTTTGCTTGAACTTCCCCTATACTATTTTATATTTTATTTTGATACTTAAAACAAATAAATCTTTTCGAGATGGCATCATTTGTAAGATTTGACAAATTTTTAAAACATTTTTATAATAAATTTATGTAATAAAAGTATTATAACATAGTATTGTTATATCATAGTGATTAAACAACATATTGATTTCGCGGAACATTTGATCTCACTGAGCACAACGTTGATTTTTTTCCATAAAATCTAATGCTATTTACTACCTACTATAAAAGCCATAAGGCTATTCTTATGATATCACACTTTGAATGAATTTTTAAAGATACATACGTTAGTTAATCTCGCACATTTAATTTAAGTTAACGACATCAATAAAATATGTAGCGCTGTTTCTAATAAATTAAATTCAATTGACACTTGAAAGTGATAAAACAAATGCTAAAGAATCTTGTGATATATACTATATTTAATAAAAAAATACTATAATTATTTAAAAATAAAAAGTGATCTGGAATTAGTGCCTATCCACATCTAGTGATTTTAACCTAATATTCTTTTAATTACTCTGCATATAAAAGTATTAAGGTAGTAATATCAAAATGTCAATAGTCTATGAGATATTTTATACTTTATTCTACCATATAAAATTAAATAACTCGTAAACTATTCATTTTTAGATAACTGTACCTTAATGCCTTTATAAACAGAACAATGTGATGAATCAATTGGTGGAAAGAAAACACATAGTTGCTTATTTAAAAAAATTATTCATTTTGCATACATATTTTTTTAAAACAACTACGTATTTTCTTTTCACCAATCTACTTTTATCTTTTTCCTATCATAAAAACCAAGCGAGGCTTTCAAATAGTCGAGTTAGATGGGACACCCTGTATATCATAGCAGTGTCACAGTGAGATGCAACTTTTCACAGATGTGCAAACGATGTCAGAACGATATCACAGACATTTGCATTTGACTTTGTTGTGATATTACTGTAAATTTTTTTTACTGTAGGAGATATTATCATCTATAGAGGAAAGCCGCCTACTGACATAGGTCTTCTAAAGTGACACCCCCTTATTTCTCAGAAACTAATTATTGCACTTTATTAATACTAATAAAATCATAATCTGTTTAGCTAATTAAAGAAGTACAAACTTATAATTCGTGTATTTGTGACTTGTTTCTATAGCAAATCAGCTAAAAACGAATTCTATGAATGCAAAAATAAAACTCTTACAATTTCCTTTTACAAATTGCGTAGTTTAAATAATAGTAATTATATTATTGCTAATATTACGTCATTTTAAATGCTTGTAATTTCCTAAATCAGTTTTATTTATATTATTTTTTTCTCTATGTCAACATAATTTTATATTGTATACTCAATGTAAAACTAAGTCTTTTATGTTATCGTTCCTTTTTATAATTTGATTTGCTACGTTTGAATAACTGATTGTGATCTATTGAGACGGAGATTAGTCACTTGGCTAAACAACGAAGAGACAAATTTCGGCAACTGCCAATCAGATAGTAGAGATATGCTCATCCTCAGTCTCACATAGAATTTAATTTCAACATTGTCGCAATATTTTGTCAAGACATCTACGAAGAGTATCTATGAATTTTGTTGAAGATAGTTTGAAAAGAAACCGAAACGTCCAAGTAAGGTGATACAATCATTGTACATTTATATATTATGTAAACGTTATTTGATAATTATATTTTATTGCGCATCAATTTCCGCGCTGTGTTGATACTCTCATTGCCCGATATACTCTATTATAATTTCCTCTAATAATAAACAAACTCATCGCGATATATTCATCAATCGTAAACATCTATATAAACATCTATAATTATTATTATTAAACATCTTATTAATTTGGCGAGATCGGAAATTGTAATAGAGACGAAAGTACAAAGATACGTGCAGTTGGTAGAAACATCAATAAGTAGAGTGCTGTAGATCACACAATAAGCTTTCTCGACCCAAGTGCAGTTCGCAAGTTGTAAGTGCCATAAATTGCTACGTCTCCTAGTTCTGGCCACTTCTGTATAACTGAAAAACGAGCGGGGTGAGTCGAGAACAAACTTATTGCCGGTAGTGGCCGCCAAAATGAGTTTCCGGAACGCTCAACATTCTGGTTGTGTTACCAGTAGGACTCAATATTAGAACCGCACGAAACAGGCGATGAGAAATCGCGGGGATTGGATCATGCCTTGCATGCGGAGGAGTCGAGGCCACCGCCAAGATCGCCCTTTTGTCGCACGACTATCGAACAATATGTGCGCCGGATGTGCTATTCTCCGTGTTGTAAAGTTTATACTGGAATACGATTTCTTCACCGAGAAATAAGAACTTTTGTCTCGCATATGCATATTACTACAAAACACATTATCACGAAGCAAATATTGGATAGTGAGATGGAAATTCTTAAATGAGAATCATTTTCTTATACAGTTGAAAAATTTGTATTAAATTTAAAACATTTTACATTTACGAGAGGCCGCAACGGTCCTCTCAAATTTTTATGTTAATTTAACACAAGATGAATATTAGAAAGTAACACAAACATTATGTAAAAATGAATACAAAAAACACTTTGATATAATTTGAAAACAAATTGTGGAAGTATTTCTTTAGTAAAATTAACATTCATATGTTAAATTAACATATCTTCATCTTTTATTTATTTATCTCAGAATTTATGTTTCGAAACTATCATTTTTATGTTATTTATTCACTTACTCTCAAATTGTGATACTTTAATATTAAAAAAATGTTAAATATCAATTTAACACAAAATATTCATATAACATAATCACATTAATACTCGAATATATTATAAATTCAAAAATTGTAATAAAAACTAGGTTTAACACACATATAAAATGTTTTTTACTGTGTAATGTCTTCTTGAACTGAACATGAAGTTATGGTAGGTAAAAATGTCATTTGGGAATTTCCGTAACTCGTATTTAGTTGTAAAGAGACAAATAATTAAAAAAAGTTTCATATAATCATAATTAAAATAAAATTTATTAAGGCATACCTTACAATTAATTTAAAGATGTGTCTCAATAAATTTCATTTTATGTCGTTTTATAATTAATGTCTTACCTTGTACATGTCGACCACTTCGACCATGGTGACCATTCTCCCCAACCACCGTTCTGAAAAGATAAAGATCAGATTATAATTATCGTATAACGAGAATATGAATATGTAAAGAAGATAAAAAAGCTAAATTAAATAACTGACATTAATTTTTAAATTGAAAAAAATCATTTCGCGTACTGGAAATACGTTCTATTAAGAGAGTCTACTTTTACTCGTCTAAAACGTACATTATCTTAGTTATTAGTACACTCATTTTCACGATCTCAATTATCTCAATGCATATTTATAATGATTTTTCTCTATAACGACGTTTTGTCTACGAGACATTATTCCGTAGGCTTGACTTGTCTGCCAATGCACTATGTCATTGAACTCCTCCCCCTCTCCCTTCATTGCAACCCTCTGTCTCCTATTGTCAGACTTTTATTTCGCTCGTAAATGTGTCATCCGAGTCGACTACTAGCAGTAATCGGCATCTATAATGGTTCTCTCTCTGCAACATAAAACGCGCTTCAGACGTCGTGACGCCTATGCACATCGATCGGCTCATCCTGGTCAGTAAGTTCGCAAATAAACATGATAAAAATTTCACCAACTACAGCAATGATTGTTAGGATTCTCGGCACGTTTTTGCCGTTTTGCCTGATTGTGAACCAGATTGAACCAGATTTCCAAAATTCACTTTTGCCACATTCACATGGTCTTAGAGCCGTCGCACGCGTGTGGTGAAAATTCCCGGTGTTTTATAATAGGCAATCGATAGTCTGCGGGCCCTAATTTCGATCTCCGAAGAAATTAGATACGAAACGAGAAAGCTTAATGATAAGAGAGAGGCCGAATTTTATCAACACATGATGTGTGTTACAGGATATATTTACTCTATCACTTTCAGGTAAATTTCTTGTGTCAATATGTATTTAAAAATACAAATATACATTTGTCTAAAAATATTTAAATACTAAAATATTTAAATACTAAAAGTAAATAATATAAAAGTAAATAATATTTCATATTTTCGAAGTAAATTAAGCTAAAGCATAAATAGTGTCGTATTTATTGTAACGGAATGAATGGCTGTATTAATATGTAAATGTATGTATTGTATCTAATTCACATTTCTCACACTTTTTCCATGTTAAGGCAGTTAACATCCGTATGTGCGAGATGTCGTGTGCGAGCCAAAAATTTTTAAATTTATAGAAGACTTTATATCAAGCACGGATCGTTAACGTATTCTCTCTCGGAATAGCGTGCGATATGAGCGACAATATTTCTTTCGATCGATCTCACCTCAATTCGCTCGTTCTTTATCTAAAGTCTCTGATAATGAGCCGTTGTATCAAGCCGACTTTTTCCGGTAAAAAGAGATAACGATGAAGGGAGTAATTAATCCTTTTTATTCGAGAATTCTAGCCCTTCCTCTTGCCTATCTACGTCCTGTTAGCTCTTGTTGCACTATACGAAAAGAACGAGAGAGCATTTCGATGTGTTACTGTTAACGGTTGCCGGCACTCTTCATGAACTGCGGTGAAATTTACTACCACGGTTCTTCTTTCTGTTTCAACCGTTTGCTCTTCTTTCACTATCCCTTTCGTTGCGCTCATGCTAGCGCTTTTCACGGAGAAAATGTTGGACTATAGAAGACTAAAGTGATGGATAAGAGCGAAAGAGTGGATGGAAGGCAAAAAGGTAGAATGACGATAAGGAAAGAGAGAGAAAAAGAGAGAGAGAGAGAGAGAGAGAGAGAGAGAGAGAGAGAGAGAAACAAAAGAACAGACATACGGACAGCAGCCAAGAGGAAACGTGGGATCGTTTTGGCAAAAAAAGCTAAAAAGCTTTTAACGTGATTCCACAGTCGCTAGTCGGTTGTTTTATTCGAAATTCCGCACGATGAATAATGTCGGTGAGTCGAACGAGCTACGATCGTCGTAGGAAATTATTGACGCATCGATCTCGCGGGAGTCGCTCCGGTGTAGCGCTGTCTATGCTGCTGTACGCTGCACGAATCACTTTCAAAATGCAGACCACCGTCCGTTATTCCATTTATCTCCGCCGCGCCGTCGATTCACAGACACGGCAATTTTCATCTGTAATCAAATAGTTGCGCTACGATCAAGTCGCGACAAAGTAATGATGATCTCGTAGAAACTGTCACTCGTGCACAATTTCTTTTTATAAAAAAAAAACTACATTATTGTAAGCGAAATCGTTTAAGTTTAATTAGTTTCATTTTTATACAGGCAAATGTATTTAATATCAACACAAATCATATCACCGAAAACATAATAAGGAATATAATAATAAACGGTACAGAAACAAATAACAAGAAAAATATGGCATGTAAAGATTTGGAATAAGTAAAAAACTTTGTAAAATTTTGCAAATTTCACATAAATACAAATAATATCCCTAGCAAACATGACCTAGCACCATTATATAATTTTTTGTCATTATTCAGATGTCTCTGTTTTATAACAACAAGACAGCTTTATGGCGTTGAGACATTCTAATATAAATATGATAATTTTGTTATATATTTTTATTATATATAATATTTAGCACATAATATAATTATGTAAATTAAATGTAATTAAATTACATCCATGTACCATTCTATGAATGAGACAAAATACACAATACATTTACAGCACAAAGTCATAATGGAAAAAAATGTACATTATACATTTTCATCACTACGATGAAAATTTAATTTCATAAATTATACGTCACTTTTTCACAGTGATTACATTTGTTTAAAGAATTGAGAGAAGTGAGAATTATATAAACAAATCAAGGAACCATAAATGTAATAAATTAAAGGAAACAATCGATCAATAAGTATTATTACAAATTATTTTTCAATAAAGAAATAATTAAAATAATTAGTACAATTTAGCAAATAGTCTATTCAAAACATAGGTTAGGTTCTATATAATTTACTTCTATTATATTATCAGTTAAATATTTGTATATGCAGTTAAATAATAATAATATATTCGATTGTCATGTCGATTTTTATAAATTATTTAAAAATATAAAAGTTTAAATATAAAAATATAAAAGATAAGTATTTAACATGAATAGATTATTATCATTTCCTAACTAACAATAAATGAATAAATACCAGCTATTTTATATATATTATTTTGTTTCCATGTAATCTCCTCAAATATTAATAATATTAAACTATCAGCAGAGGCTGATAGTTTACTGAAATTAATATAAGAATGATATCAACAATAAGGGATGATATAAACATATAAATAACGTTGGCAATGACTCGATCATAAGCGTGCGATTAGCTCAGCGTAAATGTTATTAAGCTACCATTCTAGGTGAGGAGTTCAATGCTTGGCGGTGATGCGATGCATTTTTCAATAATTAATTATAGTTAATAAGACAAGAATATAGATATGTGAAACAGTAAATAATAAATTGAACTAAAAAAATAAAAGTAAATAAACAAAAAATTACTTTTTTTGTTAAGAAAATAAAACCGTAATCTTTTTATTATATAAAAAAATAATTTTTATTTAAGAAAATTTATTGTTATGTATTAAAAATATTTTTCTTTTATTTAAAAAAAGTTGCAAAAAAACTATATAAACAATTTTTTTAATTCTAACAAGAAATAATCAAAAAATTTCTTTAAATAAAAAAAATCGGGTCAATATCAATAAGTAACAAATAAATAATAATTTCATCCATTTGTGATGTCACAGTAACAAATTTTGCATTGCATAAATGTTACGTATGCATCATTCATCTCAATGATTGTTATATATCAATTTTGTCGTCGTTTCGTATTTAAATCATACCACTATTATGTAACTCCTA